TCCCACATAGAAAGGTTGCTCTAATTTCAGTAAATGCTATTTTGAAACACATGTTTTTAACTTTTTTATTGTAAAAATAATTTGAATTTTTAACTTGTGGGAGCATTAAAGAAAAGAAATTCAATAAAATTTAATCAGAATTGTCAGCAAATGAGACACCTACATTTCTATTGGGAATTAGGCTCGACTTGAACTCATTGTTCGAAAAAACGACTCAAAAATCAGATTCGAAAAATTTTTTGAACGGCCATTAATGGAGCTATATGTGAAAAACACGGAGAGGTTCCAGAAACAGAGGGAAGCTTACAAAAAATATTATTAAAAAAACCAACATTAACATATCAACATTAACTGCCCAATTCAAGCAAAGTGACACAATTGTCAGAAAAAGAAGTAACTTTAAAAAGAAAATAAATTTAAAAAAATTAAAATAAAAAAATACCCAAGCAAGAAAAATAAAATTTAAATCAATTAATTTAATTGACAAAAAAAGTAAAGGAGTTGCCAGAAAAGAGCCAATAGCAGAAACTAAAGGGTCTGCTCGTTGATTAGAATATCCAGAGAAACAGCTTATTCCACGTTTCCAAGCCTAAAAATTAAAAAAATTTTTAGATTATTTTTGAAACAAAAATAATTTGTTTTATTAAATTTTCAGTTAATTTAAATGTCCAGAATTTTCAATAAAAATTTTTTTAGAAATTTCTTCGGCAATAAAAATTTCGTAAAAATAAAAGGAAAAAGAAAATTAAATATGGAAAGGATAAAATGTTTGAAAATTGAAATTTGGAAAAGAAATCAAAAAATATTTTGGCCTGTATTTTTTAAAATTTATTTTTCGAAAAAAATCATTTTAGCGACAAAAAAATTTTTGAAAGATGCTTTGAAAGAATTAAAAAATAAAGGAAAGCTTTTCTAAAAATACCCAAAGTCAGTAAAATTTCAAAAAGATTTTTTAAATTAAAAAAACCATTGAAGCAACAGTTCCCACAGCCACTCCAATAATTCCACCAGCACAAGTTATTCCCCCTAAAATTGAAAAAAAATAATTCAATAGAATTAAAATTTCTAAATTAAACCAAAAGTCAAAGCAACGTGTTCTGTGTCTGTTACGGCTGTTGCATTTGTAATATTATGATGCCAAGCAATTGCTTCCTCTATAGCTGCGGGGGCCCACCTTTTTTTAGATAAAAATCATTTTTCAATTAAAAATGATTATTTTTATCTATTTTTCAATTTTTATGAATAAAATAAAAAAATAATACTAATTTAAAATACACTGCCCCACAAAAATATAAAGGCACAAATGTTTTCTTATTTTTCTGGGTTAACAGCCTCGGTAGCAACCGATAGGAAAAAGAAAGCATGGAATATACTTATCAGCAAGGGAGTATCCAGGGGGCTAGAGCCAACCCCCCTCAAAATGGGGAAAATTAGAAGGACGATCAAAAAAGTGAATTTCTTCACCAACAACCTCCCAATGTTAGCCCCCGAAAACCCTGGATACGTCCTTGCTTTCTGAAGCATTGTGTAAAATAATTATTTGAATTCCGTTGAAATTTAAAAAGATTTAAAAATAAATTTCAAACCAAGTCAAAGTCCCAGTCGAAAAAACAACAGCCGTATAAGCTATTGTTGACCAGATAAATGTTTGACTACAAAATTATTTTTAAAATAAAAATAAAAAAAACAAACTTTTCAATTAAATAAACCAAATCTTGATAAATATTAGACAATTTATTTTTGAATGATGTTGGGGCTGTAATTATATCTTCGTTGGCCGGTGTTGAATTAACACGGTTATTTTGATTGTTGCTAAAATTTAAAATCTTTTAATTTTAAGGATAGTTATTATAAATGCTCTAATTAAGGCCCGTCTCTATTAGAAGCCCATATCTAATATAAGCCCACCCAAAGTGACCCATTGAAAAATAAAAGCCCAGAGCTTTCGTGTCCGCAAAGTACGCGCCACGTTTTAAATTAAATTTTGACCGAAAATAATTTTTACAGAACATAAAAACTAATTAAAATTAGAATTTTTGCAGTTTTTAAATTAATTTTGATAATAAGGAAATCAAATTTTAGATGGCATAAACCGTCCAAATTTTGAAGAAAAATAAATTAAAATTTAAAAAAAATTCAAGAAAAACCTTTCAGTTTGTCCATTTATTTGCCCACTCTCTTCCTGGTCTGCTTGTCCACGAACCTAAAACGAAAAAAATTAAAAAAAAATTTTAAAATCAAACCGGTTCATCCACTCCAAAAATCAATGCAATAATTGTTGCAATACCGAATAAAGGGGTTGCCCTAATTCCCCATTGCCAACAGTCCACACAGTCTGTCCTTCCAGCTTTCGCAATAGATGCAACATAAGAGCCTATTAAATAGCCTAGACCGCTAAAAAGATGAAAATATGAACAAGGTAGAAATTAAGGAAGGGGAACAAAAAGCCAATCACGGATTTAGACAAAACAAAAAAGAACAAATTTATAAGCGGGAAAAAAATGGGTGTCCGTAAAAAATCAAGATTCGACTATAATATCGTGACAGATAAAGCGGCATGCAAAAATTTTGAGACTTTTAGAAGAACGTAGGCCAAAAAATTATTATTTTTATCCAATCCTCTCCCAAAATTTTTTCCTTTTCCCCATTTCGAGGGGGGGGGAGAATTCCCTCCTGACTACGGACCTGCACTACGGGGTATTAAGCAACTTCGGTTTTAGCTAAATCCAAATTCTGAAATCCGTTTCAGTCTTAAATTTCAGTTAAATAACGATTTATTTTGAAGGGATTTGTAAAAAATAAATAATTTTTCAAAATTTGTCTCCAAAATTTCAAAGAAACGAGCAACTCTTGCCATGAAATATAAAATTTCCGTTTTTAAAATCGATCGCCAACATTCACTGCCCAAAAATCCCACCCCCCCCCCCCCCTTAATAAAAAAAAACCTTCCAACAGGAATAGCAAAATAAAAGAACATCAAAACACGACTTCTCGTCTTTCCACCAAACATATCAGCTAGAAAAGTTGGGGCAACAACAGCATATGAAGCTTCTCCAATCCCAACAATTCCACGTAATATAACGAAAGAAGCAAAGTGCTAAAAAATAAAAAAAATTTTTTTTATTTAACATTCCCAAAAGAGGGCGGAATCGTTTTTTCATTAGCTGCGAGGACAGGAAAAATCAGAAAAATGGAGAAAAGGAGACGGATGGACTCGGACAGACAAAACACGGACGGCCAGGCCCGTAGCCAGGATTTTTTTTCGGGGGGGGGGGCCAAGGGGAGGGGGGATTTTACGCTACGGGCCTACAGACGGCTATCAATTTCTAAAACATTTCCGTCTGTGTTTTGTCTGTCCGAGTCCGTCCATCTGTCTCCATTTTCCTTCGTATTTTTCCTTTCCCTGCAGGTAATCAAAAAAAACCGATTCCGCCCTTCTTTTGGGATAAAGTCAAAAAAATTTAAATAAAAAATTCAAACATTTTGAGGAATAAAAGAAGAAGCAAAAACAGCCAGAACCCAAACAATTTCTCCAATTAAAATAATTATTTTTCGATTAAATCTTAAAAATTAAATAAATATGAAAATTAATTAAAAAAAACCGATCCCCCAAACATCCACAAATTGGGGCAAATAACATAAAAAAGATGATAAACACAGTTTGAAGGAATCCAGCCATTTTATCGTCAATATTGTAGAATTTAATGACATCGTTTAAGACTCCTAAAATTTTTTTGAAAATTTTTAAAATTTTTTTCCTTTAAAAATGAATGAAAAATTATTCAAAAATTCCCTCTTTTCCTTTCCCCTAAATTTTTTGGTTAATTTAGTTCCATTCAAAAAATGCATAAAATACCAAATATAATACCAAAATTTCTAATTAAACTGATAATCAACAACCCAGGAGGTATTGAAACTCGAAATATAAAAATGAAACCAAATTAATTAGACAGAAATTGGGGAGAAGGGAGGGGAGGGAAACCGAAATTTTTTATTAATTTCTCTAAAATTTTTTCAAAAATATTCAGAAAAGATTTCAAAAAATTTTTTTTAATTTCCTAAATTCCAAACAAAAAATATTTCTTAATCAACTTTCTCAATAAAATAAAAACAACCTGCAATTGTAAACCTGTCCATATAATTAAGTAAATTGATCGCAAAGAGAATTATTAGACAAACAAGTTTTTTGTTTTCCATTTTAGGCGATTGATTTTTTGGAATTTCCCTTAAAATAAAATTTGAAATTATAAAAAATTAAAAGCATGGAAAAACTTCCTAAAAATATGGAATAGATTGAAAAAAAAATTATTTTTTACTTTTTTCTGAAATTTTTAACTGAAGGAAGAAGGCACTCAACAGGCGATGAATGCCTTTTGAGTGCCATTACTTATAGCGGTCTTCTTAGCTTACTGTAGAGCGAGTTGATTTATTTTATTTATTTATTGAGTAGGATTGTCGGTTCTTGACCAACAGAATCGAAGAATCGAGCTTCGGTTCGGTTCAGTTTCGGATATCAGAAGAATTTCCAGGAACCGACACCCTATTATTGAGCAAAGCATATCTGAAACATCTGAAACATTGTCTGAAACATTGAAACATTTTTAATCTAGTAAAAATATTTCTAGACAAACAAAACTTTACAAAAAATCTGAGATAATTTGGTTAAATAATTAACTAAAAGACGTTGAGGGGCCCAATTTTTTGTTTTAATTAATTTAATTTTAATTATTTATTCTTTTTTTATTTCTGACTTGAGATTGAAACTAAATGAATAAATAATAAAATAAAAGAAAATTACATTTATATTTACTATTATTTTGGTCGATAAAAAATAAAATTTTAATTGGTTTTTACCAAAAAAAATTTAAAATTGAATGAAATTGATTTTTGTTAATTTTATTAATAAATTGGTGAAATTCCAACAAATGTAACGGAAAAGGGAAGGCAAAAACAGGGATAGATGGGGAAGTGTGAAAATAGCTAGGAATTTTCCTTTACATTTATGTAAAATTTAAAATTACTTCACACCTTGACGAGAAATTTTGTCCCCCTTCATTCTGTGATATATTAGATTCCTTTCTTCTGTTGGAATTAAGGGAAATTTCTTCAAATTTTTGTTCATTGTTGTTATTAGAAGGGTATTGGGCACTTTTATAATTTAATTCTTTTTTAGTATTGGAAGGCATATTAATTAAAAATATCTCGAAGAAAACCCTAATTTGTAAGAATAATTCTTTTTGTGAATTACTTAAACGACAATAGAAAATACTAATAATCGTTAAAACATTAAAGGGTAATGCGCAGGTTTTAGGTTACTTTTCAACCAATTTATGAACTAACGAATAAATTTGGGGGTTTGAACGAAATGATTGATTAAAGGCAAATTAATATATTTGTTTTTACTATACAAATAATTTACTTTTAAACTAAATAAATATTTCACAATTAAACTCAAAACAATTGACTCAAACATTTCAATATCTAAATTGATAAAATTTATTTGCTGTAATTCTTGATTTTTTAAAGTCTCCAATTCTCTTCCATCTTCTGATCAGATGTTTTCCTTTTATGTCTCCATTTTTTCGAAGGAAGAAAACATTCCCAACTTTATTTATATTTCCAAAATTTAAAAATAAATTTCTATAGGTGCCAAAAATTCTCCATAATCATATTTAAAAAATAGTTTTTAACCTAAAAATCCCCTTTCTAATTATTTAATAAAGTGTTTTCTTTTTGTCACTTGTTCTGGAAATATCATTCATCTTAATAGTTTAGATTTAAATATTTACTATCGCTCTAATAATAATTCAAAAAGCACAAGAAAACAAAATTTCATCTCTAATTGGCTGTCTAAAACAAGGCTATAATTAGTCCAAAGATATCTTATTGAACCCCAAAGTAAACTTTAAAACACGTGAAGATCTAAAATAATAATTTCAAGGTATGTCTATACTGCTTATGATGCAATTTTCATTAAAATTGCCGAATTTCTTTTAATTCTCGTTATCATAAAAATTACTATTTGGCTGTGTCTTCAAAGAAATTATATAGAAAAAAAAACAAAAACAAACACTTAATTTCCCCTTATGTTTCATTATCTTTAATCAAAAAAGTCCAATTATACATATTTTTATTTTATTTCCGTTAAATTACTTAATTATTCTTTTGAATTTTTACTTTTTTTTATTACAAAAATGTTTGAATTTTTTAAAAAATAATTCTCTTTTAATTAAATTTTATGACTAAAAATAAAAATAGTTAATAAATTTATTATCACTTAAATGGAAACCGAAGATCATTTAATAAAATTATTTCCACCAAAGTGGAGAGCGCCAGTTGTTATTACTGCAGGTGTAGTGCTACAATTTACTTTGGGATTGGTCTACACTTTTGGTTAAAATTTAAAATTTCCCTGAGAATTTTTTTTAACTTTATTTCACTCATTCAGGGAATATTTTGCCTTATTTAACTTCATATATTAGATGGAAGGTAAATCCAGAGCAAACTCAAGGATCGTTAATTTGGTTACAGAGTTTAATGTGTAGGTTTTAAATTGAAAATTTTAAAGAGACTGTAGTCGGATCTTGATTCTAATTACACTCAAAATTATTCCAGCTCCAAGAGTTATGTAAAATCGTGGGCGCGTATAAGAATTTTTTAAGCAAGATATTAAGGTTATCCTCGAAGTATCTCAGTTTTACAAAAATTTAAGCCAGGTTTGCAATCCCGATTCCTGCCTGGTGACTAAATTTTTCTTAAAGCTCTTACCTTGTTTCATACTAATATTCATTTAAAGCCGGTTTTCCATTCTCGATGTTGACTGGAGGTTATTTGGAACGTTTATTGGGAGCAAGATGGGGGGCAGCACTTGGCTCTGTAATTTATACTGGATCTTTGGCCTTATCTTATTTTAGTATTCAAGAATCTTATTTTTTGTTAATTGTGACGATGGGGTTTTTTGCAAGTTTTGGAATTGGTGTAACCTATAATTGTGTTCTTATTCAATGCCAAAAGGCAGGAAATTTTAAATATAATTTTATTGAGTATCAGTAACAAGACGTGGAAATTGTAATAGGCATGGGACCTGACGGAGTTAAAAACAGGAATTTGAAATTTGGAAGAAAGTGCAATAAAATTAAAAAAGGAAAAAAAGAGTGATAAGGCGGGATTTTTTAGGCGGAAAAAATCACTCTTTAGCCTAGTCACTAAAAATGATTAGGCTGATTTTTTTTGATTTTGAGTATTGCTCATTATCTTACTATCAGATTACAAAGACAAAGATGAAAAAATAAAAACAAAAAATTAAAATTTTACAAAGTTTAAGAATAAAAATTAAATTTAAAAATTTCAGTGGCTACCACACAGAGTTGGTCTAGTTAGTGGGATAATTACTGCAGGCTTTGGAGGCGGTGCTTTTATAATTTCCCCTGTTCAAACAAAATTTATTAATCCAGAAAATTTAAATGTTAATGAAGAGGGGTATATTTCTGAATTGAAATTTAGAAAATCCTTTCTCCAATTTTTAAGTTATTTCACTCAAACAGAGCTACTTGAACGAGTTCCTCAATTATTTCTTTTATTGGCACTTATCTTTGGTGTGCTTCAATTTATTGGCCTTTTCTTTCTTGCAGATCCCGTTAGATTTTTTAATAAAAATTTCAATTTAGTTATTAGAAAACTCTAAAACACTTCCTCTTTAAGTCAAAAAACCCTTGAATGAGAGATCCAGAGTATCGTATAACCTGTATTAATTGCCCTCCCTCAAACTAATTACCCACTTATATTAATTACCCCATCCAGCAATAGATTGAAACAATAATTACCTCCAAACAAATGCCCTAAAACACGTTCAAATTATAAACCTTGTATAATTACCTGCCTTGATTAATTACTCCCTCCAGCAGAATGTCGAAACAATAATTACCCAGGGTAGTTATTATAGGGTATACGGTACTCGTTATCACCTGACTCAATTCTAGTTAATAAAATAATAGATTCAGCTTTTTGTAATAATTTCTAAGCCAGCAGGCTCAAAAAATAATGAAGCAAAGCCATACTTTTACTTAAATTTTAAAATCATATTTTTCTAAAATATTTCTCTCTTTAAATTTTCAGAAAAACACTAATAACAATGAAAGTGATTTTCAAGATGAAAATGATGAAGAAAATAAAGATCAAGAAATCGAATCACAAAAACGTCCATTACTCAAATCTAGATGTTCAATAACTTCCTCACACTCCCACACTTCTTATGGAATAATTACAACTACAACAACTGCATTAAGCTTAACTGCCCCCACAATTTCCACGAAGAAAGTTTTAACTTCTGATACCTTTATTTGTTTGTTTTTGACTTTATTACTTAACGGTATTTGGGTACAGACTACAAGTGGACTTTTTAAGGTGTAATAAATAAATTTTAATAATTATTAAAAATCACTTCTAGGCTTACGGCCAAACATTCATTCATGACGATTTCTTTTTGGCAACAGTTAGTTCATTTGCTGCTGCTACAAATTGTTTTAGCAGAATATTTTGGGGTGCTTTTGCAGACCGAGTAATTAGTTATTTACCTTAAACGATATAGTAAATAGGGTTCATGTCCGAATTCTGTCTGAATGAGCATGTCTGCTTCAGCATATTTTTAATGTCCAGTTGACGAACTACTTGTATAACACTAAAAAATCATTGTAGGGATAAAAGTGTGTATATTCTTTACGGACAGGTACATCGTCCTGGATATAAGTATACCGGCATTTAGCACGTGAAAATGTGGAAAATGCATTTTCCAACTAAAAATAAGGATTGAAATTAACCTGAAAATGGTCCCTACTCGAAGAAGTATCCATCTAGTAGTAAAAATCATGGAACGTAATGGAACATATGGAGTGTGGTTTATATTGAGTGTTTATTATATGGAAATTTTCAACAATTGAAGTGTTTCTAAGCTTAAGCTAATCGAATTTCTTTTTAAGTATGATGATTTTAAATTTTATGATCATTCAAAATCAAGCACAAAAGTAAAATTACAAATTTTCCAAATTTTCAGGCATCCTATAGGCTAACAATGGGTATTGCATGTTCCCTCGGTGCTGCACTTATGTGGACTTTAGGACTTGTTGAATTGCTTAATTCATCATTTCTCTTCTTTATTTGGGCAAGTTAAATTAGTTTATTAAGTAAATGAAATAATTTTAAATGAATTTGAAGATTTGTGCAATGTTTTCCTGTGTTGGAGCAACTTATTCATTAGTACCCTATGCAACTCATCGTTGCTTTGGATGCGAAAATTTTGGTGTAGCTTATGGGTGTGTTCATATATCACTCGTGGGTTTACATTGAATTTTTATATATTTATGAGGAGGATATATAAATCCAGTTTATCCAGACGTGGTTGTCGCTGTAAGAATGAGAGCTGGGTGCGGCGCGACGGTATGAACCGCACAGCTGTCGGGAGGTTGAATTAGACTGAATTAAGTGAAGAGGAGCTGAGCTAGTCGGGAGGTAGCTGAGCTGGAATATCCCGGGAATCCCTCAATCTTCTAAAATGTGATCCTCTCTAGTGGGCGAAAGGATGGAACCAAAGCTCTGTAGATTGGCGAGCTAATTGGATTGCGGCTCTTAAATGGACGAGCGGATGGATCACACGCTCTTTAGTGGACGAGCGGGATCAGACACGCCTTAGGACGGCGAATTAATAGGAATACCAAGCAAGAAAGAATAAACAAATTATAATATTTATTCCGGACCTCGAACTTAAACTTGGGTAATTAAACCATAAAATAAAATGAGTGAAACATAAACTTAAGTTTGGCCTAATTAGTTAAAGAAAATTAAAATGGATTAAAGGCCAAAACCTAAGTAGAGAAAATCTAAATAAAGCGCAGGTGGGGAAAAATGTAAATAATTAAAGGAGAAAATACACAGAGAAATTAGTAAAGCTAAAAATAGCTAAAACTTAATGAATGAATAAAATGATTGAATAAGCATAGGAGAAATGATCAGAAATGGGGTTAGCACAAAAGGGTGTGGCTAACAAAAGATATATCGGGCAATGACAAACGGTTAAAAAATAGACGGTGCAAAAGATCACCAATAAATTAGTCAAAAATATTTAAATAAATTAATCAGACGTCGCTTCGGCGACACTGGGGCGCCGGCCACTAGCGGCGAGCATGCCGTTCGTCTGAATGCCCATAGTTGCGGCAGAGCATATTGATTCTCCGATGCCTATTGAGTTCTCTGTGGGTTCTCCTTGTACTGGACTCAGGCAGTAAATATTTTTCCCTTTGATTTTGGTTGCGAAGAGAGTCGCATAGCGCGGATAGAAGTTTGAAATAAAGCGGAGAAGATTGAAAAAATGAATTGGATACGGTGAACACGATTTTAACATGCGTGATAATCCAATAGATAAAAGTAAAAGGAAGAGCAGTCCCGATCCTGATAAAGTTCCAGAATTGACGGGAGCATTCCGCTTTATTAAAGTTGCCGGCGCAGCACAATTCTCCTTAATACATGAAATTTGACATTTTGGGCATGTCATATTAAATTTGGGCGATCCATTGATGGATGCAAAACAGAAGATTGATAATGCCACGTTTAGTAGGGTAGACACGAGTGCTCTTGATTTGCTCCTCGTTGTCATTCGATGTCCGGCGTTAGTCTTTGGGTCCCGCACGGAAGTTTCTTGAGTTCCTTCGGTAGCGGTGTCGACTTGAGGTGGGACAATAAACTCTTGTTCAGTTGGTTTTATTTCTAGAAGGTACACGCTATTGACTGGACGCGTGACAGTGTTGCCATTTTGCGGTTTTATTTTTACTCTCCTGGTTGCTCCAGGTTTTCCTCCTAATTTGACGATACGTCCCATGGGCCATAGCCTCTTTGGAGTATATTTTTCTTCTATAATTAAGAGTTCTTCAATCCTAGGGGCGGATTGGGTTCCTGATCTCTTTCCTTTATGGGCAATCTGAGATCTGGATTGAGGTATAATAGGTCGAGCTAATGCTGGGCGCTCAAGTTGTTGCAAAAGTGGTTTGGGAGGAAGTAAACCATTTTGGGCGGTTTCTATTGGGTAGCGCTCAATCTCGTTTAGATTTTGCTGTTGCGCAATATTTATAAGCATAGAGCCGGCGGTTAGATAATCATTTGCTGAGAATGCGGAGTTTTCTCTACTAGTTGCTTGAGAAATAGAGAGAAGCTCCGGGCGGCGATTCTTAATAAGCAAAGAAGGTTCGCGGCCAGGTTTGATGAATTTAGATTTTAGAAAACGAAGAACCCAAATGGTCGTTCTTATTTTATCCCATGAATTAAATCTCCCATTATCAATTAGGGTGTTGGGTAGTTGAGACTCAGCGGTGGAGTCGGTTGTATTGAATTTTAAACTTAATGAAGTGGGCCACTCATCCTCGGGTTTCGAGAGCCAGGTGGGGCCGTGCCACCAGAGATGGTCGGATTGGAGTTCTGAGGGGGATTTTCCCCTTGTCACTAGATCTGCCGGGTTTTCTGATGTATTCACGTATCGGAACTCGCAATTGGGTAAGGTTCTGATTTCCTTGGTGCGGTTTGCTATAAAGACCGGTTGGTGGTCTACTTCTTTAAGCCAGCTAAGGGCAATGGTTGAGTCACTCCAGACCAATGTTTTTTCTACTTCCCGGTGTAATTCCTTTTGGACGAATTTGGCTGCTCTAACTCCCGCTAAAATTCCTAGTAACTCCAGGCGGGGTATGGTGAGTTTAGAGTTTGCTTTGAGTGGGCGCAAACGATTTTTTGAGAAGACTAATGAAGTGGTAATTCTCCCATTCTCCTTGCTTTTACATCGCAAATAGACAGCTGTGCCGAACGCAAAATCGGAAGCGTCGGTAAATGTATGGATTTGGACGCTTGGTGAGTTCCCGTGAAGGACGAGGCGAGGGATCGAAATTACGGTGCTCCAATCCAAAACTAATTTCTCCCAAGTCTTAGATTCGTCTGGTGGTAAGACAGTATCCCACTCAAAATTTTCTAAAGTCCATAAATGTTGGAAGAATGCCTTGGCCGGGAGAAGGCAAGGGCCGACTAGTCCCATTGGATCAAAACACGAAGAAATTGTGCCAAGTACGGTGCGGCGTGTAATTGGCCTTGAGGGTGGCGGGAATTTAATCTGAAGCGTATCTCGCTGTAGGTTCCAATTAATTCCAAGGACTCGTGGGATGTCCTGTTCTAAGCGGTCTTCCGGGGCGATTTGGTCCAAAACTGCAGCATTGTGGGTACAGAATTCCCGCAGGTTCATTTTGGCATTAGCGAAAATTTGTTTCGAGGTTTTGCATTTGCTAAGCGCTTCCTCTACAGTGTCGCATTCTAAGAGAACATTATCGACATAAATGTTTTCTTTTATTGCGTTGGCAAATTCGGTTTGTTCTTTTGATAAGTGATGCCTAATGACGGCCGCTAGGATGTACGGAGAACTGATAATCCCAAATGCAATTCTTTTGAATCGATATACGGCTAGGTTGGACGGCGACAGAGGTTGGTCCATGTTTTTTAACCATAAAAATTTGCAGAATTCTCTATCAGATTCGATTAAGGAAATTTGATGAAAGGCCTTTTCGATGTCGGACAAAACTGGAATTTTAGTTGCCCGGAAGCGTAGTAATAGGTTGATTAAGTTAGGAAGTAGAACTGGTCCTCGAAAAAGTGATTGGTTAAGTGAGGGAAGTCCTTTCGGATGAGCGCTTGAATCGTATACTAGGCGGATTTTCCCTTTATTATAGACTGCATGGTGAGGAAGGAAGTGTTCCTGAGTGTCTGGATTGCATTGTGTGATTTCAATTACTCCGCGTTTAAGTTGGTCCTCTATTGCTTTCTGGTATTCCTGGGCTATTTTGGGCGCCCCCTCTATTCGCTTGAGTACGGATGACAGACGTTTGTACGCCATATCAAAATTGGAGGGTAATTCCGATGGGGGTCCGGGAGTTCCTTTTGGTGATTTCCAAGGAAGTAACACTGTGTATCTCCCGCCCGGGTCCTGATTGATGGACTGTTTGACTAATCTATTGGCGATTTCGTCATAATTAGTTTCGGGATTGTTGGTACTCCCCATAGACTCTAGGTTCCAAAATTGCTCTATTTGGTTGCTCGCAGGCATTTCTTCCGGTGAGCTTTGCACGGCAGAAAGAGAAATGCAGGTCAGCGAGGTAGGTGAAATATAGTGGGGCATTTCACCGCAGAGCATTGAGCCGAAGTGAGTTTTTATAACGTGCAGATTTCTTCCTATTTTCCTGGATCCGAGGAAGAATCTCCAGAATTCTCTAACTCCTAATAGAATTTCTGGTTCCCTATTCTTGACGGGAATATTTTTGAGGTCTCGGTGGTTAGTAGGGATCCGAGTTCCATCCCATTGAATACAAGGAAATGCAGGGACGATTTGCGGAATCGAGCAAATGACGGCTTCTTCCCATCTCCCGTTGGGCTTATGGAGCCTAATCTTGTGTCCAGTTGAGCGAAATTTGACTTTATCGGCGCCAAATACGCGGACGGAGTGATTGGAGGTAGAAACCTTAGGTGGTCTTAAACGGTCGACCAAAGATTGAGAAATGTAGGAAGTTTGGGAACCGGTGTCCCAGAGACCAATAGTGGTGTAGATCGGACGATTATTTCCCGAACTTATTTTTAGTTTGCAGGTCATCAGAAAGGTGTGAGGTTTTGACTCGGTGGCGGTCATAGCCATTTCAGGGTTGGCGGGAACATTCTGGTTTGTTCCGGGTTGATTTTCGGAATTCATTCGCGAATTTGTATAAATTTTAGTTAGTTGGTAAGTCATATTATTAACCGGTGGAAGGTTTTCATTCCCTCGAAAATAGTTATTTTGTTCGTTAGTTGGGTGACTCTTTCTTTTGTATTGCTCCACTTTTTGGCGGGTGCAGATAATAAAGTGGTGCTTGCCGCAGCATTTCCTACATCTTTTGGTCGATGTACACTGCCCGATTTGATGTCCCTCGCGAAGACAATTTAAACACCTGCGTTGAGCCAGCAAGCGGGTTTTGCGGCTTTCGGGTGTTGGGAATTTGTGGCAAACTGAAGGGAGGTGATCTCCAGTACAAAGTGAACATTGACCGACATTCCTTTCAATGGCGGTGAATGTGCGGGTAAAGTTGGCTGGCGGGGAATGTTCTGTCCGATGACTCTTTTGTTGGCGAGTCGACTCAATGTCTTCCCTTTGACTGGACGGGACTTTCAATCTCTTTGTGCACATTTTCACCTCTTCTTTTATGGCCACTTGTTCTAGGAGAAAATTCCTAAGTTCCTTATGTGTCCACTCCCCGGCTGGTGAACTTCGTTCCTTTTCTATTATTTTCTCAATAAGTGTGGAGGGAAGTTTGGCCTTAATTGTGGTAACTAGTAGGGACGCGTCTTCTTTTGTGTTGAAATTGCATTCTAATTGCCGGCAAATTCTTTCTATTGTGTCGCAAAAGGTGCGAAGTGAGTCAGCGGTGTCCTTTGTTGGTGGTAATTGAAGAAGCTCTGATTGGAGGGCCTCTCTAAGGTTCCGGGTACTACCATATCTTCCTTTTAAACATTCAACTATAATCGGGTAATTTTCGGCAATTCTCGGGTATCCTTGAATGGTTGATTCGGCTGATCCCTGGAGTGAGTTACATAAGTGGTGGATTTTTAGCGCGTCTGGTATGTTCGGATTATTATGGATGGCCAATTCGAAGCATTGCCAAAAACTGGTCCATTTTTCGGGTTCCCCAGAAAATTTCGGAATTTCCATAGGTGCGATTTTGAATGAGTCGTACGCCGGATTTCGCGGTAAATCCTGTCGGTAGGTCCGATGGGAAGTATGCGAGTGTCGGGATTGAATGGAGGCGCTCCGTGATCTGTTCCTTGACTGGAGATTGCCGGAAGTGCTCTCTCGCTCGGCTATTTCATCGATTGTGTCGATGAGAGCCCGGGCGTCGGCGACCCATTCAGTAAAGTGCCGGTAATCTTCTAGTAGGGGGTCATTTGGGCCCGGACGTTGAAAGCTCTCATATATTCTTTCCTCCTCGGGTAGGTTATCCGGATCAATTTTTTTCATAAATTCTGCCCACTCCCGGTTTAAATTTTCTATCCTTACGGTATTACTTGCCAACTGCTTGCGAAGTTTGTGTAGTAGTTGGAGTTGCTGTTCTTCTAACACCTCTTGTTGGGCGGTGATGATGTTGGTAGCTTCGTTGATGTTGGTTTTGAGTTGTCTGATGGCTGGGACGATCATTCGGCGGATTGGTCCCGACGACATGTTGAATGAAATTATGTAGATTTGTTGAGTTGTGACGGTTGAGTAGAAGAGTAGTGCAGACTGTAGATTTGTGATTGAAGAGTAGTTCTGTAGTTGAAGATCTAATTAGTTGATCTGTAGAACGTAGAACTGAAGATGTCGAATGTTGTGTCGACTGAAGCAGTTGAGTTGAGTTGGTGGCTGGAAGTTGCCTGTTGGGAAGTTAAACAGAAGAAAAAATTTTAATTTAATTAAATAGAATTTGATGAAGAAAATGAAGAAGGGGGTCCCGGGTCGTGGCACCAAAAAGTTTGTCGCTGTAAGAATGAGAGCTGGGTGCGGCGCGACGGTATGAACCGCACAGCTGTCGGGAGGTTGAATTAGACTGAATTAAGTGAAGAGGAGCTGAGCTAGTCGGGAGGTAGCTGAGCTGGAATATCCCGGGAATCCCTCAATCTTCTAAAATGTGATCCTCTCTAGTGGGCGAAAGGATGGAACCAAAGCTCTGTAGATTGGCGAGCTAATTGGATTGCGGCTCTTAAATGGACGAGCGGATGGATCACACGCTCTTTAGTGGACGAGCGGGATCAGACACGCCTTAGGACGGCGAATTAATAGGAATACCAAGCAAGAAAGAATAAACAAATTATAATATTTATTCCGGACCTCGAACTTAAACTTGGGTAATTAAACCATAAAATAAAATGAGTGAAACATAAACTTAAGTTTGGCCTAATTAGTTAAAGAAAATTAAAATGGATTAAAGGCCAAAACCTAAGTAGAGAAAATCTAAATAAAGCGCAGGTGGGGAAAAATGTAAATAATTAAAGGAGAAAATACACAGAGAAATTAGTAAAGCTAAAAATAGCTAAAACTTAATGAATGAATAAAATGATTGAATAAGCATAGGAGAAATGATCAGAAATGGGGTTAGCACAAAAGGGTGTGGCTAACAAAAGATATATCGGGCAATGACAAACGGTTAAAAAATAGACGGTGCAAAAGATCACCAATAAATTAGTCAAAAATATTTAAATAAATTAATCAGACGTCGCTTCGGCGACAGTGGTCATGAATACTGATAATATCGGATACCCGCGGATATCTACGGATCTAGACAGATATGCATATTATTTCTTTCTCCAATTCCGCTAATACATATTCATCTCAGAATTTGGTAATAGTGTCGTTCCGGCATCTATGCCATGAGCGGAGGAGGGGGGTATACTACTAAACTTATTTCAGTAAAATCTTTTTGGGAATACCAACAAGGCTTTATTCATTTAGAGTTAGGTACACACACCTAGTACCGGAGCTTATATACTTCGGTTTCATTCACACATCTAAGAATTGTAACTATTGACAATAAATCGTGGGTTCTTCCGGTCTCTAATCTTCACGAGCAAGGGTTTTACAGGCGACACTATAGTCTTCTTTCGTAAATAAAAGCTTTACAAATTTTTTAAAAATTATTTAATTTTTCAGTTCATCTCTGGCATAATTACAGCACTGTTTTCACAATTTTTACTAAATATAATAGGGTTTCATTTAATGTTTACAATTGTAGCATCTACAATGATTATTTCTTTAATTTTTACAATTTATTTGCCATATACATTCTATGGATCTTCTATTGGATAAATTTTATACTTTTTAAATCGAATTAATTCTATGGAAATTAATTATAGTTATATTTATGCTTTCTGATCCACTGATATCCCTTAACTTATTCATTAGTACCCTATGCAACTCATCGTTGCTTTGGATGTGAAAATTTTGGTGTAGCTTATGGGTTATTTTAACTAAATTTTTATTATTTATTTTAATTTATTTTATTTTAACCTGATCTTAATTTTGACTATAAATTATGGTAGAAATATTTTATAAGATTTTATAGATAAGAAACTACAAAAAAGTTTATTTAAATTGTTAAAATTTCGAAAAAATCTTTAAAAAATTAATCCAATAAATTTAAATCGTTAGAATTTGAAATGATATTTATTATTTTCCATAGACGATTTCCTCAACAAACTTCCTCTTTTTTGTAGATATTTCTTGTTTATCGTTCTTAAAATTAATTATTTCGTTATATGGATCAGCAATGAACACTTCCTTTTCTTTTATTTCTCCTTCCTTATCTAAATAAAATTCATAACTTCCATCATTTAAAAATGCTGTTATTGAGGCAACATTTTCTATTTCATTATTGTAATGACCTAAAAAACCTTCATCAAATACATTCATTTGCCCATCTTCAATATCATTAATCTCTGTTTTTGTTATCATTATTGACATAGCATGTCTCAGACTTTTTAATAAATCTTTTTCCAAATCATTCATTTTTTTGAAAATTTTGGACACACATCTTTCCTCATTTGCTTTTTTTATTTTAACAAAAAATTGAAACCAACCAACATAGAAATTTTTCAATAAAATGATAAAATAATTGCCTGGATTTTCAAATTTTATACAAATTTCAATGTGAGAATATTCCATTCTCTTTACATGCTTCTTAGCATTTAATGAAGTTGACTCAATTAAATTAACTTTGCTAAAGTTTTCTCTTTTCAAAATTTTTCTAGGTCCATCGGGATTCAAAAAACATATTAATCTTGTTAATTTATATATATTTTTAGCAGTTGTCACTAAAACTGTTTTTATTCCATTTATGTCTATAACTTTATTATGGAACATAGGATGAGCTATTACATTATCAACCAGCAATTTATTAACTTCCAAATCAATGTGTGCAAAAAATATAGGCATCAAAATCATTAATTCCTAAAAATTTAAATAAAAAGAAAATAGGAAACTATAATATATAGCATTGAATTAAAAACATATATTATTAAAATAAATTTAATAATTTAAAAATTAAGATTTCGAGTTAAAAATAGGAAATATTTTTGAGAGCTTTATTATTTGTCCTCAATCAAAAATTATTAAAAGATCTAAACATTTAGCTGTAGTGTAGTTCACCGGAGGTAAAAGTTTGTGACGTGACATATGTCATTCACCCCAAAATCGAGCTTACTCTCTCCTATGCTTTTTCAATTTTTCGGGACCTATAATTCGGTCCAGAATCATTGTCTGAAGTAGTGAGGGGTACGGTTCGACTCAGCTCGTCGTGACGAATTGAATGAAATATGTCACGTCCCGAACTTTTACCTCCGGTACACTACACTATATCCAATTTTTTTAAAAATCAAAATAAAACGTTTAAATTATTTATCTATGGAAAGAAAAACTTTAATCAAGAACAACATTAGAGGAGTCTTCCCCATAATAACCAAGGTAAAAGGCATTTTCTTTCAATTTTATAATAATTTACATAAGGCCAGGATCATCCTATAACACGTGAAGAGCCGCTCTAAATGCGGAAGTTATTGGAGAAAGGCAAAGAATACTACAATAGGCCATTACAAGAGAGCTATTAACCGCCCATTATCTAAACTTAAAATCGCCAGATTTATCTTTGGGAAGCAATTAGGAAGTAGACAGGTGCATTCACCTGAAAGATGCCGCTTGATAATCCTTCGAGTCTTATACATAAGGGCTCCGATTCGTACTTGTTAAGGAAGTAATTTACTTACAAATCGACTTTTTGGTAGAATCGACTTTTGATCCAAAATTAAAATGTATTTATACTTTAAGTATGTACTTACAAATTAAACTTTTTGTACCTCTAATTAACATAGTTATGCCCGTTAGGAGCCGGATAGATAGAAATTCATATTTCCGTCATACGGTCTTAAAGTATTATATTCTTGGACATCATAATGGATCAAAAGTTGATTATACATAGAAATGTATTTAATTTTACCTTCTGTTCTGTTCCATTACTTTCTTTTAAACAAATACTTAACCCCAATCTTTTTAGAGAATAAAAGATCTCTTCAATTAAAATTAATTTTTTCCCTTTGTTTCCATTTTCTATACTTTTTATTTTGTGTGAAACCTCGTTAGGTTCGTAGCAATTATTCGTATAAACACTTGTATAAACACAATTTTTTTCATTTTTTTCGTCAATTTCATATAAAATTTCAATTTTACCTAACCCACTTTCTTCATCAATTTTATTTACTTCCATTTTCAATAATTTTATTTTAAAACTTCCATCCTCATTTTTATTTTCTGTGGACTTAACCAAAATTCGTTGATTATTTAGTAAAATCGAAGAACAAAAAGAAAATATTAAAAATAATATTTGACAAAAAAATAAAAATTTAATAAAAACCATTAATTAACCTAGAAATTAAAAAAATCGGCATTAAATTTTTTAATACAAGCCGGATCTTATCATACATAAAATAATATATATTATAATGTAAAGATTATATTATTGAAGATAAATGGGGGTATTTAATCAAAAAATTCATCAAAAAGTTGTAAAGCATATAGTAGCTATTTAATTAGTCTTTGTGTAATAGATAATGGCGGTGTGGTGTAATGGATAACTCAGAAGTCCGGTCTACTGAAGATGCTGGTTCGCTCCCAATCGCCGAATAACCTTTTGCACATGCTAAAGGAGAGAAATAGCTATAGCCCAGCTGCTTTACTATGTATATCAATTAAATAAAGAATAAACATTTATGTATGTATTTTTAAAAATAATATAAATAATTATTTCCCAATTTCCTTTCAATAAATGCACTTGCTTTTCATTAGCATATTTCAAAACATAGTAAAGTGCAAAATTTCATAATTATTATTTTAAATTTTGTATTAAATAAATAAATATTTATGAATTTAATACTTGGTATAGAGGGATTGGAGTAGAGCAAGAAGGTATTAGAGAGAAAACCGCGATTGTGATTAAATCGTTGCTTAGTGAAATTTTAAAAAATCTATTTCAGCCTTTGCGCACAGTTATATTTTCTGATGGACGAGAACAAGCTTTGGATTGTAGTAATAGTACAAGAATACTGCAACTTTGGCAATGTTGATGTTGCAAATTTGTTTTCTAAATACAGCCCTTGAATAACACAAAAAACGTGAATCCTTTTTTCAAAATATTAGAGATGTACAAATGAATTCCAGAAATATACAGCGAGATTTAGAATAAAAAAAATAAAAAATAATTATAACGTAATAAACCTTAAATGAATTATTTACTCAGACATGCTTAGTGAAAATATTATGCAATTAATAATTGAGAAATAATAATGGGGTGAATTTAGAAAGTGCATTTAGTATATAAAAAATAGTCTCTTTAAACATAAAAGCATTCCGATTTTTAGAATTTTTCATGTGGTGTCTAAAAATTTTGTGGGTAAAGTTAATGGAGTTTTTGAGAAAATATTTTTATTTCAAAATATTTTTTATAAAATATAGAATTTTTTAAAAGAATTTTATAAGTTTACTCTTTTTGCCAACATACAGTGTGTCAATAAACTTTAAAACCAACTGTAATTTTCAAGTTTTTCTCGGGAATGAAATTTTACACAGCTGGTCTTAAACTTTATTGTCACACTGTAAGTATTTCTATCGTTAGTAAAATTAACTATTTAGTCATTCAAATCAACTATCTCCACTTCCTCCACAAAATTTTAAAATTCCTTCTTACATTCCGGAATGGAAATAAAAATTGGAAATTGAAACTATATTTTGAAAACTATATTTAATCGTTAAGTATCATAAATATTTAATTTTAAAAATTTAAAGGCAAAAAGCTAAGATGAATGAGAGGAAATTTCTATCAAATATTACAGACATTTTTTTTATTATTATTACTTAAAGTTGTTCATTTTCATTTACATAATTAGTTTCTTCACGATTGTATAAAATTGTGCCAAAAATAATTATAATAAAGGCAATTAAATAAAGGATATAAAACTGAAAATAAATATGTAATTAAAATTTAATTTTTTAAATTTTTATCAAAAATTGTAAATATTCAGTTTTTTTCATTCAAAAATTCTTTTTATCGTACCTCTTGTCCGAAAAGAAAAATACCAGCCAGCATTGAATAAAAATCAGAAGTTAAAACACAAATATTAAACAATAAAGCAGAAGATCTCTGCATTACAGAACTAACCAAAGAATAAAATAAAACCATTGAAAAGGTAAAAAATATTAAAATAAATATAGAAAATAAATTCCAATTAAATTTAATTAATTTTGTATAATCCAAAAAATAAGATTGAAATAAAGATATTAGAAATCCAAAAATGCCAATAAAAGTTAGAAATTCTAAACTGAAAGAGAACAACGATATAGGTAATTTTTTTATAATTCTTAAAAATAATTCTGTGAATAACAATATTATTTGTATAAGAGAGATCCCGTAAAAAAATTTTTTTAGGTTCTCCTCATATAGAGAACTTCACTATGTGCATGCTTGTTTAGAATACCGACTTTAAGTATTCAAATGTTTAGTTCAGGTATAGTTCCTCTACAATAACAGCCAACCTATATTTATTAGCCTGGTTGAAAATCTATCGAAAATTTCCTCGGACAAGTTTTGGTTTAATCCTGGTTAAAGAAAATGGACACATAAACATTCACGTCTTTATCCAGTCTATTGCTCGAAATTGTACTACCCTTTAAAGTTTTGACGTTATAGCTCAACTGTAGTCGTTACTCAAATATTTCCCAGAATTTTTAAGGCTATCTCGAACAAACTCAATCCAAAAAATTACCGAGAATATTGTTTAACCAAACATTCTTCTGAAACATTAGACACAGCATATAAAAACGTGCCAATTAAACAAAGAAAATCTCCAATAAATTTATTCGTTCCACTATTTAATCCTTTATCATGAATTGAATCGGTGTAGATAGTTAAGCCCAGGCCGAGAAGACAAATTGCTGGGAAATTTTATTGGTATTATTTTAGCTTTTATCTGTACTTATTGTAATAATTTATTTTCGTGTCTGGTTTCTGACCTCCAAGATTTCTCAAATAATTTTTTAAAATTATACCGACAGCTGCAAATTGCCCACTTTTGTAACGTGTAGAAAGAAAAATACACGAAAGTAGCATAACTGCAGGTATTGTAAAAGAATTCAACAATTGAATGGCGGTAATGTTAGTAAATTGATAGGCATAGACCATTGCCTATAGGGAAAAAAATTTTTAAAAAAATTTTCGTTAATGTTAATCAGACTAAAAATTTTGGTTCCGGAGGAAGGAAATGCCGCGCAAATTTATAAATTTCCATTTAAACTTTCGAATAAAATCTAATTTCAACTATTTTAGCCTGACCCAGTTCTCCAGGCATTTAATTATAGCATGTGCCTAATAATCTCCCTCTTCATCCTCCTCTAACAATAAAAATTTCAAAATTCACATAAAGTGAAATTTACCTACAAAATTAGCCTCAACATCAATAAATGCAAGTAGAAAATATTTCCATCCTCTATTTCTTAAAATTTTTAAAAATCCCTCACTTTCTATATTTGATAGAATAGAATCATTCAAATTATTATTTGATTTATTCTTACGAAAAAATAAATATCCAAAAATAACAAAAATAAAGAAATATGTAGGTAGATTTTGGGCTGCAAATTAGGAAAAGAAAATAATTTTTTTTTATTTTAAAGATTATTTTCTTTTAAATGTTAGAAATGTAATTTTTAAGAGAAACATACATTTATCTAAAACTTAATAAATCTAAAACATAACTAAAGATTTATGAAAGAATGTTAATTATAGTTATTTAAATTAAGGACGACCGGTTTTTAAAACTCCTAATTTGAAAGTCTCTTAGTTTAGAGGATTTTGGTCAGTTCAAGGATCTTTTATGTATCTCTAAAGCAAATTGCTTATTTAAAATTTCTGCTAAGGGATTAATAACTTTCGGGATTAATAGAATTTTTGAAATAAAACATTAGATAATAATTTGCCTGTAGGAGCATTGTATTTTTCATTAGACAAAAATTGTGAAGCAACAGCTGTCCCGCTTAAACAGAGAGACATTAATTGCCCTAAAAGTAGAGCACCTGAACGCCTCAAAAATTTTAATTTTTAATTAAATTTTTTTAAATTTACTTTGAAAAATTTTGGGTGATTTTTATATTAGCATTGATACTTGTTGACTCCTTTATAAATAAAAATGTTTAACAATAAAATGGTACTTTTCCATTATCCGTTTATATTTATCCGTTCCTTCTTTTTTTCTCAAAAATTATATTTGGTAAGAGTAATTAATTGTCAAGGATGCTATCCCTCACAAGAAAATTTGTTAAAAATAAATTCTTCACTTTTACTTATCTTATATTTAGATCAAAAAATCGACCAGATAAATTCACTGACCATTTTGCGACTTTATCATCTAACTTTTACGTGAATGTAGAAAAAGAGGGAAAAGGGAATAATGTAGATGGATAACGGAAAAATATTAGAGATTATTTATAAAAATATTTTAAAAATATTTATCAATTTATTACCTCCATTTAAATTAAATATTTAAATTAATAAAATTTGTAATAAGAAAATAAATTATCAAATTTTTGGGGATTTTTACTAAATAAATTTAGAAAACACAATTTTTTTGGTAATAATGTTTGCAAATAAAAATCGATGAAATTGCTATTAAATACATATATTTTTATGTCTACCAACGAAATGAGAGGAAAAATATGAACATAGTAGTTAGTTGAGGCAATTCTACTTTACTTTGTTATTATCATTTAAAGGAAAGAATGTTAAGGGGGTAAGATGATGCATGTATATGTAAATTAGAGTTCGAACCCGGGCCGGGACCGGTCCGGAACTGGCTATTTTGATGAAATCTGGTTTCTCGGGGTTCCGGATTTTCATGGTTTGGTAATTATTCGGTTCGTATCCCCTCTTTTTCTGGCCATTTTTTCATTTTTCCTACCCTTTCTCCCTTACTTTTTACGAGGCAAGTATCAAAAAGGAGTATGAGCAGTATTTATTTACTTTTTTCAACAAGATAAAGAAGAGAGACATGATACCAAAATTATAAAAAATATGCCAAATATCACTAAATCGTTTTCGCCACAGAAATTCAGGAAAATATGTTCGTTATGTATATGAGTGTTGTTACCGCGTGATGACGGAACTTACGCTTAGATGACCACAATGATTTTATATTCTGTGTATGTATGAGTCTTCTGAACTAAAAAGTTTTTTTAAATGATTGACGGTTCCATGAGAATATCCTTACCGAAGACTAGGAAGGCAAGGTCTTCGGCACTACTCTTTCGCCTTATTATTGTCAGAAAGCAATGCTCATGTTTTGAATCTATTTCCACCCCTGCAAATAACCAGACTTCATTCTTTGCAGGTGCAACCATGATGGTACTTTCGACGGACAATTACTGTCTCATCGATTTCGCATGTGATTCCTATAATTTTTTACATTTTATTGAAAATAAGATAAGAAAACCGATCCTAATCATTATTGGATTCCCTATGCTCAGACCATTCGCTTTAGATTCCAACATGAAACTCGATTTTTCATAAGCGCTAAATCGATATACCCAAATGCATAAGGATAAATGAAATATCGTCCTTAAATCCAAATGTGTTTCTTAAATTACAAATTGTAATAGTTGATTGTATGTAAAAAACCTTCAAAAAATGTTCCACAGAGATACACTTGACCTTTTTTACAATTTTTCTATGTGCAACCTGATTTTCATGTCAATTAAAAATTTAATATTTAAATGAAAATTGCCATCTGAAAATTTTGTTTATAAATATGAACTTTTCCTCGTTAAATATAATAGTCAACAAATATTAAAGTTATAATTTAAAGACAGATGTTTCCCTCCCCCCTTATGTAGACCACGCTAATAAGAAAAAGAGAATAAAACGGACTTAAAAAACGTGTAATTACGAAATTTAATTTTTACTTTCAAAATTTTTAAAAATTATAATTGATAAAGATACCTTTACATATTTATTAGTCTACTTTTTTCCAACTCAATTAATTTCAAAATAAAAAATTTATAGAAAATTAAGTTTTAAAAATGAATCAAACCCAATGTATTGCCGCTGAAGCATTAGTTCTCGATACAAAATTTAACATTTTAAGAATATTACTTATCATTCTGAGTATGATTATTATTGTGTTACTTTTTCGTATTATCTGGTCTTACAAAACAAAATCGAAGAAATTACATACAAATCTCCTCGTAAGCTAAATTTGAAATAAATTAAGTTTGTAGAATCCCCCGGTCCCTAATGTTCGTACACCATTTTTGAGCGTTTCAGCTCATGGCATATCCGCATGCAAAATATGTATTTGCATGTTTTGACACGGACTAATAATGACTGTTAGTCTATTTTCAATAATTTTTAAAGCCCAAAATCCTAAAACTATTGGTTGAAAATAGGGCCAAAAGATGATTTTGTCAAATAGATAATTGAGTTTTTGATAATTAAAATTTTTCTGAAAATTTAAGATATTAATGAGCAATGTACTTTTACTTTATGCGATTTATGTATTGGCAAATATGCTTGAATATTTTATGAATTTTGTCAGTTAAATAATTAAAAGTCAGTCTAATAACAAATTTTAGATTGTTTTATTCACATATTCGGATCCATGTGAATGTTTAATTCCAGTTTGGTTAGTTTATTTGATTAGGATGCCATTCATTATTTACGTTAACGGCTCTCCTTTATTTCATTTTGCTATAATGATTGAAAGAGTTTTGGCTACAGTTTATGTTAATATTTATGAAAATCAGGGGAAATTGTTTGGAGTTATTAGCACAATTATTGCGGTAAAATTTAATTTTATTTAAATTTAATTTTAAATTTTATTATTTTTTAATTTTAGTGGGCTTTGGTTTTTACACATTGTCTTTACAGTTATATTACAACACAAATGGATACCGACACATTTGGTCATCCAATGGTTTATCTAACACTGACTACTAAGTATAATTCTCAAACGCTTATATTCGCTAACTTCTTTTACTTGTTTTTGGTAATATGTGTAGCTATTGCTGATTATTATTTAATTGTTCGGAATAAAAAAATCAAATCAAATTTGTAAATATTTTAAAACACTTTTAAATATAACCTTGGAGCTGAAAAAATCGTATCGGATAGAACAAAATAGGAGTTATAGTTCTTGGGCATTTGGAAAGATTAACATTTTTCACTGGAAAAATTCAAATTTTGAAAAACTTGAATCTGAGGATGGCTCCCGGACAATGGACAATCGGTCAGTATTGATATAAAGTGATTAAAAGTGATGATATAAAAAAATAAAAATGTAATGATATCTCTCCGAATCGTCTTATCTTAATTTTAATCCAACCAAGTAACTTAATATCTTTGTTAATCCTCCCAAACCCGAGATATCGCCTTAATCCCAACGAATCCCTCTATATCTCTTTTAAACCCCAAAATCCCTTTTTAGATACTCCTAATTTGTTTATATCCCATCTTTAGTCCTTTCATTCATTTTTTATCTCTTTACATCATCACTTTTAATCACTTTTTATCAATACTGACCGATTGTCCACTGACGCATTGTCCGGACACGCTGAGGATTAAGCCATCTTTTGGAAAATCTAACTTTTTTGGTTAATTGCCCTTGTGATGATTAGTTTTTAATAGCTTTACTTCCGTACTCCCATGATAGCTAACTGCAGCTTAGCTTAACAGCTTTTAACGAAAGAATATATTAAGGGGAATGGGAGTAAACACAAACTAGGTTCGATACAACATATAATTATTACACTAAATTTAAAGTTTCAAATCTGCAACACACTACAATCTAAGCCAAAGCTATCAATCAAAACAAAACATTCTTTTAATGAAAATTATTTTTCCTCTTGACTTTTTTTATTCATTTGTATTTGCATTATTTAATATTCTTTCAAACTATATACGATACAATCGTGAACAATATGACCAACTTGTTTATACACGTACCTATGAGAGCTTTTCTCTGGTAATACTTATTTATCTTAATATCTAACAGTAGAGACAAACTATATCCTTTAAAATAGTTAGGGTCAGGTGAACACCAATAATAAGACCTATCAAGCTTAGGTTAACAGTATCTCGATTATCAGTATCTTAACAAATAATCATATCATACATAAAGAGTCATAATCGATAAATGTAAATAAAATGTATTAAATAATCTGCCTTTAAAGTTTAAATTTTCCTGAAATAGATCCGCAACATGTATATTAGGGATGTCCGAGACCGAAACTTTTCCAAGACTCAAGCCAAGTGTCTCGGACGTCGCTAATGAACATATATCATATAAGAATATGTTTCCTTCCGTATTCCCCTGATAGCTAACTTTGGAGCCTATTGTAGAATGGAATTTTTAATTTCATAGCAGGGTGGCCCTTTTACCCTATTTATAGAGGATTTTTCCTATTTTTGACCTTTTCGCCCTATTTTTCAAAAAGCCTCCCAAAATCTTCAAAATTTTCACCTGCGCGCTAAAAATGGAAGTAATTTGGCTTCTTGGCCTTCCAAAATTCTCAAAATTTTCGCCTTATTTGAAATTTTAATCATGTTTGAGCTTTTAAAGCTATGCCCTAATTCTTGCCGCATTTTTGGCCCATTTCGCCCTATTTTGGTGTTTTGGAAGGGGCCACCCTGCTTCATAGCCTTCTTAAAATTCAAAAATTAGCGCCTTGGTGTGGATATAAAACTTAACTTGAAAATTAGTGGATCTGTCCTAAAATTTTGTCCAAGTATTCCTGAGAGTTTTTACGTTTTGTTTTATTATTTTGCTATTTAATTATTTTTAATTAAAGTTACTTTTTACTCACGCAATTATAACATTGATTGTATATGACTTTTTTCTGAAGAAACAGGATGAAATTAAGAAGAATTTCGTCAAAATAAATATGAATATGAGTTCAGAAATATATTTTAAAAATTTAAATCTTGCTTGGAAATGAATTGACTTAAATAATTTTATGTGAATAAATTTTGATTTTGAAGTAAACATCTAACTTATTTATTGAAATATCGTATTTCCTGAAATAGTACTCACCCTTAAATAATACTCCTCTTTAGAGAGAGGTTGAAAAATAGTAATACCGAGAGTACTATTATAGGAAATACGGGCTAATTCAAATATTTTTACAATATTTTTTATTAATTTTTATTTATTTTAAATATGTTTTTCTAACAACTGTTTTCCCAAAATAAAATATTTACTAATTTTTGTTTCCAGCTGTTTAATAAACTTTATTTTATTTTTACCCCAGAAGATTGATTTTTTAGTTTATTAATTTTACAAATTATATTTAAAAAATCTATTAATTTTATTGCCTAAAATTTAATAAAATTTCTAAAAATTTAAAATAATTTAAGTTTTAAGAATAGTTAAAATGACAGCTGGAGAATTTTTAAATTTCTGGCCCTATTATTCTTATTCACCTTTCTACAAACACAGCGACACTTTTGACTACTACAAATTCGGTCCAATGTATGACAGTTATTACCGAATACCTTACAGACTCCCACCAACGCAAAGTTATTTTTCGTGGCGTTATGAGAATAGTTATTACCCCTACTAATTTAGGTGGGTTTTTTTGTCGATTTTTAATTTTTTTGAAGCTTTTTAAAATAAATGGAGCTTTATGTAGTATGTAGTTTAACGATAATTATGACATTGGATCATTCCATCCCTCTGAGTCCGGAAAAAAGTTGAAAACTACGTACCCCAAATCTATGTTCGATATCATTAATTTCGAACGAAAATTGTTCATGATTTTTTGCTAATCAAAAATTTTGGGAATTACGGCCATTCCACTACTCAAATTTAATAAGATTAAGTACATGATCTTAGTCATATTACTAGGATTTACTTAGCTATTTGAGATTATTTCAATTAAACATTTTATTTAAAAATTAATATTTAAAGGCGCCTATAATTTCTTCAAAAATTGACAACATAGAAGAAGATTATGTTAAAAAATTTCAATTAAAATATGTAACAAAATAATTTTTGAAAAACTGTAAAAATTATTTTTTAATTTTTTAAAAATTGAATATTTTTATTATATATTTTTTAACAATAAAATTAGTTTCTATAATAGTATGTAGTTAATTGATGAGAAAAAATATATTTTTAATGACCGCCTAACCATCCATCACATTGATAATCTACATGAATAAAAACACGTTCAACAAATTCTAAGGAACGAATCTGGAATATACAAAAATATTTTTCAAAGATTTATGAAAAGCCTGCGTCTCTACAAATTAGAGATCAGACAGGAGGGATATCCCAGACAAAAATCCTGGTTATCGAGACCGCTATTCTCCGATATACCGATCCTGATCTCGGCGACCTCCTCTCCAATCAGATCATAATATAGATGCTTAAAACTCCTCCTTCAACCCTTTGAACTGTAAGCATGTATTATTGTTTTTACTCACCTTTCTCTCCAATGCTTCCGTTAAATCATGTGTTAACTTTAAAGGCAAATGCTCATCCAAAACTACATGTAATTCAACTAATGCACGTTCTCCCAAATGATAAACCATCATATGATCAATGTGTTTAATTTTATCGTCATGTTGTATAGCAATTCGTAAAATACGTGAAATAGCTTCTTGTTCGGCACGACGACCTATCATTAACGGAATTGTTGAGAAGACATTAGCCATCCAGGAGATTGCAATAAAAGAACTTAATGGAAAATGGTAACGCCTAAGCCGAGATATGTATCGCTGCTTACCAAACAACAATTGCACCAATCGGGTCAGCTAAAGGCCAGTATCTATCCCCAATAACAGCACAAGTCAAAGCCACCACAGATGTCAAAATATCATTTCTTAAGTCCAATCCCATAAGTTTACATCCTTGGGAACTTTTTGAATAACAAATAGCTAACAATATAATTCTTATTGTTATCCCTCCCAAAAGTATAGATATTGTGGGTAATGTAGCTTCTGGATTGACCTTTAAATAATTTATTTATAGGACCCGGAAAATTTTGCACTGGAAATAAAATACATAAAAGCACATGTAAATTTAAATTGCCTATTCTTTTATGCTTCTCCTTGCCTGATTAGAAATAATAGCTTGAGCAGACTGTACAATCATCATAATATTAGCTACACCCATTATCGTAGAACATACAATTACTGAAACAATTTCTAACCGTTCTCTACCTCTTGGATAATTTAACATATTTGTATTATTTATTGCCCAAACACTTGTCTGGTTTTAATTTAAAATTATAAATTTATTTATGTAAGTAAGAAATACTTGGACAATTAACGATGTTGTTAAATCCATTGCATTGTCGATAAAGGCACTAAAAGTTTAATAATTTTTTCAATTTTGACTCGTTAAGGAGTTAATTTGTACAAAAAAATAATTAGTGTTTAGCTGTATTTGTTGGATCCCGAATGCGGGTATAATTTTTAATGTAAATCTGCATGGATTTCTTAAATTTCGTAAATAAGAAAGGAGGGGGGATTGCGGTAGCATATCCGTCTAAATTCTGTAGGGAACTTTGAGATGACTTAAACATTCTTGTTATAAAGGAGTTGCAGGAACGCGAAAAATCGGTACTTTATTAATATCCCGCCCCCCACCCCTATTTGAGTCTCAGATTAATTTTCCTTTCCTTTACTATCAATCATTTTCTCCTTCTAACATTACAGGTAAAAGGCAAATATTAGGAAGGAAATAATAGACAGCAACCGAAAAAATGTGTCTAACGGCAAAATTTAATATTTATAAAGAAGGAAATTTGACCGTTCCGAGGCAGGAAAAATAAAAAGGAAAATTAATTTGAGACTCAAATAGGGGTGGGGGCGGGATATTAATAAAGTACCGAAAAATCTGTTTCCGATTTAGAGAAAGAACTCAAAGTCTATCTTTTTGTATAATAAAAGAACAGATTATTTTTTAAAATATAATTTAAAATTTTAACCTAACAACAGAGTAAGAATGTGATAATATCGATGCCATTAAATTAGCACCTAACAAAACAACATTTAATCCAAAAATAATTCTTGCCATAAGCCTGTCCATTCGTTGACCTTTTTTATTCATTTCATTTCTAGCCATTTCAATAGCTACATGATCAAAATCTGATTTATTGAAGCATTGCTCGTCGATATGGTAATTTTCGATTAATCGATCTTGATTTTCATAAAACTGAAAAATTGGCTAATTTAATTTATTTTTTGAAATGAATTTGCATGTATAAACACATTCAGATGTCATAAACTTTTTGTTTAATTACGATTATTCGTGTCTAATATTTCAACTGTTACCTCCTCCCCGCCCCCCATTAGCTATAATCTACTATGTTAGAAATATATTTGATGCTATACAACAATAAAAAATCAAGGTCTTTAATCATACTAACACGTTATGATTGGAGTATAACGTTTTAAATTATGTGTATTCAGTTGGTGTTATAACGAGAGTTATATGTACTTACACATTTTGATCATAAGATTATAAACTCAATTTGAATCAAATAACGTTTACATAAATGATTCAAAATATTTTAAAATCCCTGAAAATCCAAAAAGAACCACCTCTTTTAACTTTTTAAGCCTTTTCCTTCTGGTAAAGAAGCCAGCTTTATTAGTTAAAATTAATCGAGGATCACTTGTTCGTCTTCGCTCAATTCTTTGATTCTCAAGTAACGGCTCTTTTTCTTCCATTTTTAAATATTTTTAAAAATTAATGAAATTTATAAATGATAAATTTAAATAAATAAATTTAATTATAAATTAATTTTTTGTTTGTTTATATATTGATTATGATGATTTTTGCTTTTATGAATTTTTGATAAGAATTATTAGGAATGCCTAATAATAAAAATAATTAATAAAAATATTGTGTAATTAATATTTTATTTTTACCCAAGATAATAAACGAGAAGGCGTAAATAATCAAAAAATATCAAAAACACTCTAAAGGTTAATTTGTTAGAGTTTTAACAATTTTTGACAGATTTCCACATTTGACAGATTTTCAAACTTTAATCTCTTGATCTCCACATTAATCTCGATATAACCTTTTAAAATTTCGAAAGAAAAATTGAAAAAATTTTGTGAAAAGCTTAAGATTGGGCGTCAAAACAGGTGGCGTATTTTTGTGTTGGACACAATAGTGGGCTCCTTATATGCGTCCCCTATTAAAGTTTACCGCTTTTTTGACCAGAATTTTTAAATTTTTATTGTAGTTTACGGAAATTTTTCATTTCAAATTTATGAAAAATATAAATATTTTTCAATTATTTAAAAGTTTTCATTTACTTTAGTGTAGAAAAACACACATTTGTATTCTTGTTAACGAAAAGAATTTATCTGAAATTAGAATACGCGATTTCATCGCAAATAAAAAAAATTAAAATGAGGAGAGCGGTACACGGAAACAAATAAAAACAGACTAGATTGTCAATCTTGTCGAAAACGACTGACTATAACGACTGATTTTATACTTGCTTTTATACTAGACCTTTTTACCTACAATTTCGTCAATATTTTTAAACATTTACATACTTTTAGAATTGATTAAATTAGTTCTCGTTATTTTTTAAAGTTAATCTGATATAAATACCAGTATAATTTTTGTACAAAATTTTTACTAAAAATTTTTAAACAATATCCACAAATTTTGAGGTGGAAAAAAAGAGTCAAAGGCGTAGTGACAGAAGACCCACAGACAGAAGACCCAAGGACAGAAGAACCACGGACAAAAGACCCACAGACAGAAGACTCAAGGACAGAAGAACCACAGACAGAAGAATTTAGTTAATCATTCTGACAAATGGCCAAAACTTGACAAAAATTTTTTTAACATTTTTGTGTTCTTGCTAAAAGCATTATAGATTCTTGATGATTGAATTAGTTTTTACTCAAGTTTAAGATATTCATTTCTAGTTGAGACATGTAGTTGCTTAACTTTTTGATAATTAAATTTGTATAATATATTAATTAATTCAATTGAAGTCAAATAACAGCGACTTTAAAAATAATGTATTTGTGATTGTGAAGTGTGTGGCTTATATTTTTGTAAGTCGAGCTTCTAATGCTGGACTAATGATAATTCTAGCGTATTTGATGTCTGATTAATTATTACAGCGAAAATGTCGTAGTTATTGTTTGTAATTTTGTAGATCAAGCAATTAATGCTTGACGAAGTATGGTTTACAATATTTTCAATTTATTATTTTGTCCTTTTTTTTGTCCTTTTTATTGTTAAAATTGAATTTGTACTTTTGTAGTTACCTCAAAAGTGACTACAAAAGACATTAACCGCATAATGTTAATTAGGTAATTTAATAAAGTTTATATAAAAGTTAATTTGAAAATACTTAAATGCGATTTAAATTTTGTAATATTTATTTTTGAAAGTCTGGGCATTTAAGCTATACGAAATGTTGTTCAATTTTTTAAATTCATTTATGCTTTTGGTATACCGTTAATGATAGTTCGTTGTGAAAACTCTCTGTATAACCTTTTTATTCTTGCAAAATGAAATTTTACATAATATTAATTAATTAAATTAAAGTAAAAAGTGGAAAACTAGATTTATTTTAAGAATACTATTGGATAGAGCTCTTATTTTTGTAAATCAAGTTTTAAGCTTGATTAATTGTTAATTAGCAATTGAATCTGTTTTAACTCATCTCATGTAATTAAAGAGCTAGCTGGCCTAATTTTTTTGTTGTTTTATATTTCTTGAAGCCGAACTCTGACAATGATAATAAATTCAATTAATTTTAAATAAATACTACATGTAATTAACAGTACTCGAAGTTTTAATTAATCCGAAATTTTAGAAGCCAAGTTTCTGTTTTTGAGTTAAGTTATATAATCATCCTATTTTGAGGGGATTTAAAAAAAACTACGCATTTTTAAAATTTTTGTAATGATTAAATTTCAATTTTGACAAAAAATGGTTATTTTTTGAAAGTCAGGCTTTTAATGCCTGACTAACTAGAGTTGGATAACTGAATTTAGTTATACACTCGTTATATATACTAGAGTAAGTCGAGTACGAGCGAGTTCGAGTATACTCGACTCGATCGCTCGGGTTTTTTCGCATTTACTCGGGCTCGGAACTCGGAATCTAATACTCGGATTACTCGTACTCGGACACTTCATACTCGGCTGACTCGGTTAAAACCGAGTATTTTTATGCCCCTATCTGTGGCGCAAAGAGAAAGATTTTTGGCTTAAGAATCCTCGAAATTTCTCAAAATTTTCGCCTGCGGCGCAGAGAAGGGAAGATTTTTGGATTCTCAGTCTCCAAATTTCCAAAATTTTCGCCTGCGGCGCTGAAAGGAAGATTTATGTGTATATCTATGGAGTTGAATGGAGTTGGGTGGATTTTAGTGGTATCCGGATATATTGATATTTCAAGGGATCTAAGGATATAGCGAGGGATTTGGCCTTTCGAAACTTGGGGGTTCCTACTTGGCCTTCAGAAATTCTCAAAATATAAGCCAGCGGAGCGGAAAGAAAGGAATAGAGCAACGGATCTCGTGATCAGCTTTCAACGACATACCTAATCAAATGATGTCCCAATTAATCTCTCGAATTTCCCAGATTTTGCTCTTAATAACCCAAATCCCGCGATAATCAGCCCAGATCCCACTTAATCCTTTGATATCCATCTAATTCCTTTGTTATCATCTGCATAAGATACATAAATCTCCCGAAATAATATTGCTTATTGATTTTCCATCCGGAGTCCGGAGCCAGCATTGATCATGGCCTTATCATGGAATCTCTTCGGATTAAAAGGGATATAGGCGGATTAAGAAAATAAATGGTATTTGGATGATGATCCCCTGCATCACTGTCGAAAAATGCCCAATACCCAGCACTGATAATGAGTAAAAGCATTGTTTTTGGCCAATTTATTTTAGAATACTGTTTTATAAAAATTACTCGATTACTCGATTTACTCGTACTCGAACTCGGGGTTTTCAAACTCGGCATTACTCGAACTCGGCTTTTTCCCAATTACTCGGTACTCGACTTACTATAACATATACTACATATATCGTACATAACAGAAAAAAGGGTGTCAAAAAAGCGTGTTAAGTTTTCTTGTTACATTTCAGTAAAGCTTAATTTGCATAATAGCATTTAATTTATTAATTTCAAGTAAAGGTAAATTTAAAACATTAAAGTTGGTTTTTTTTGAAGCAGCCTCAGATATTTTTGAGAGTCAAGCTTTTGATGCTTGACTAATTTTCATTTACACTCATGTAGTTAGCGTCTTCATTTATCTGTATCGACCGGTTCCGAATCTAATTGAAATTATATATAGTCGCGAGACCTTTAAATAAGTAGATTTTAAAACTGAATATGGACATCCCAAAAATTTAGTCTCCTAGTAGTTCTGTAATTCGGGTTAGGGAGGAGTTTGTCAAACAAGTTGTCCATTAACCTTGAAAGTCAGTGTTCCATTTGATTTTGACTGGGGTTGTGCATTGAACTTCCACAATTTTCAAAATTAACGCCTGCGGCGCTGAAAAATAGCCATAAGTTTATACCTTGATATATATCTCTTCCCTCTATATCCCACCACTCACCCTCACTTGAATTCTCCAGCTGCCAAAAAGTTTTAGAAGATAACGAATAATAATATCAATAATTCCACACACTTTTTCCGTTTGTTTTTGTCTATCACTTGTGAAAAACAAATAGTGCAAACTTCTGAATCTTTTTTAAATAAATGTGAAAAGAAATTAAAATTGTACTTTTTGTTTACTCTAGAAATAAAAGCAAAAAAGTAACAATAAATTTATTACCTAATTAGTAATAATAATAGTAATAGTAATAATAAAAATCACTTATTAGTGTTTAATCACGAATAATAGTTTTTATGGAGGCTTAAGACACTTAACTAACTTTCAATGCAATTTCAATTGAAATTTGCATAATATTAATTAATTCAATTAAAATTACACAAAACTGAATTTAAAAGTTTAACCATTTGTGTATTATCGTTTCAAATGTGTATTTTTGTAAGCGGCTTTAAGGTCGCTAGTTTAGTACTCAATATGAATTTATTTTCGTTATAGTAGTTGACGAACGTTCGGCCTAATTTTTTTAGTCAAATTATCTTTACATAATATTAATTAATTCAATTTTTGTTAATTAATATCTTATTTAAAGATAATAAGACGTACCATGTATCAAGAAAATTTGTTTTATTTTTGAAAGTCAAGCTGTTAGTTCTTGATTAAATATGGATTAATATTTTAATAAGGACCGAATTATGATCGTATGGGAGTGAAATTTTTAGTTTTGCGAGTCGGACTTTTGACGCGCGACTAATTAAGGTTTAGTCAAAATTACATAATCGAGATTTCGAATATTAATTGATTCAATTAATTTAAAGTAAGTGCAGTTTAAAAATCAAGAGTTAATTCACCCTAATATAATGGAAGTTAGTTTTAATGTACGATGAATTGTAGTCTTTCATTAATTTAATTTGACGATGGATTTGATTTAATTAAGATTTCATATAATTGAGATGTCCTTTTTGTTTTATTTTTAGTTAGAGCCTTCAATAACTAATTTAATTATTAATTCTTTACCACATTAATTAATTTTATTATCATCTGCTTCTATTTTTGGAAATTTAATATTTATATTAAACAATTAACAGCTGTTATTTAAATTTTATAAATTTTTCTTTTTAATTTAATTCCATTCTAAGCCAAAAACTTTACTCTCTTTAACAATTTTTTCTTCGTTCGGAAGCTATTTTAAATTAAAACCTTCTCTTTGATTTTTGATTTCTCGCTGATTTAAATTAAATATTTTAAAAATATTGAAAGTACGAGAAAAATTTGATATTTTACTCATGTGAATTTTTTGAATAAATGTTTTTATTTGGTGGTTTTTTAAACCACCATTTATTTGGTGGTTTAGAGATCAGCCTATTATTTTATAAAATTTTTAAAAGTTTGTTTATTGTATTTTGTGGAAAATTTTCGCTTAATTTAAGTTAAATACAAATATTTTTTTACTTTTTTTCAATAATAGTGTAATTTGTTTTTATAAATTTTTGAGTAACTATGTCAGGCAATTTAAAATATTTACATAGCAACATTAAAAAATCTATTAAAAAATCTCAATTAAAAAAATTAAATAATTAGTAGTACAAAAACTAATTATTATTAAAAAACTTAACACCTATAAATATGAAGACGCAACACCGTAAATAAGGTGTTGTGTCCTGACCTATAAACAAGCATAGGTACAAAGAAAGGGTTTGAAATCGAGGTTGGAATAAGTTGAGGGCTAGAAGAAGGAAGCTCTTTTAACCAAAACTGAAGTTGTGTACTTGTGAAACACTATAACTTTTAGTGTTTTGCATCTACACAACAGACCAGAAATTTTAAACAAATTTCAATGGATTTGTATTTCTTTCATCATGATGAATACGAGCGTCTTTATAATTGTAGTTTATACAATATCGACCAAATCCCTTTAGAAAAACGTCAACATAAAATACTTGGATTTTTCTTTTTTATTTTATCTACAATATATGGGGTGAGTAAATACATATATTCAAATAATAATTTTAGGATGAAATTATAGTTCAATAAAGTTAGAGCATTAATAAAACAGAAAATCAAAAAGATACATAATGAAAAGCTTGATATACGTTTAAAATTATAAATTATGGGACTGCTCCGTTATGGCACGTTCTTATAAAAAATGAACTCTTATAATGTAACTCGCGTTACTTATCTAAGTTCTCCAAAAATTTCAGAATTTTTAAGAAAGATTTTATGAAATTACCTTGTATACTTTTTAATTGTATATACGAGTTTTTCACCTCAATATTTAATCAGATTGTGATATAAAGTTAAGCAGCTGAACGAAGGAGATAAATAGCTACATATATGCTTTACAATAATTATTAAACAGATACTCTATATTCCTTGTATGATTTCAATTTGTAAGCGAATGTCGACAAGTACTTGTTATAAAATTATGTTCGTTATGGGAGTTCTTGATATGGCAGCGGTTATAGTCGTTGGACTTCTAACAGGATATTTTGGATATTTTGGATATGTTTATTGTTCTTCGCCAAACTTTATTTATTTTGTTGGCGTACATGATTTCTGTTTGTATATTTTTACTAATTTGCTTATACATATATTCGTTATTAATAGTTTGCTGGGCTACAGAAACTACAATGGAAGGAATTCTAGCTATTAATCGATGTATTGAACTATTGTCCTCTGAATTGGCCAAAAAAATTTTTGGCGGTTTGAAATTACGACTTTATATGAAAAAGATATTTCTTCTTACTTTCTTTGCCAGTTCGGAATGGTCAATAACACCTAGTATTTGAGGGGGTTATCAGATATCTTGGCTGATTAAACACATTTAATTTTCTATTTAACGAGTTGCTGTTTTGCCGAATGAACATGACAAAAATGAAATTTGTCTAGTTAATAGCAAACTTCAATGGCTTTCTAATAAGTCAAAATAAAATTTTAAGGAAGTAAGGAAATATATCAAGGCTGCACTTGTTTCATATAGAGTCGAAATTATGTACTTAGCCTAATCTTTAAATCCACATCCCTTATCCTATATTTTTTGAAAGGCAAAAAATTATTTTTATGGCTTGGCATTCCAATACTATATGGTCTATCGATAATCATATGGACAAGGCAAGTTATGTTTAGCGGTATATATTTTAGCTGGTTCTTCAATCCGCACATTGGATATATTGATGATGAAAATGTTAATAAAGTATTTGCGTGAATATTTGTATAAAATATTCAATTTCTTAAAAGGAATATGAGAACACTTTTCATTCAATCCACAATATATCAGTTATATCATTGCTGATAATCACCTATACAACATTTTGTATAATTTTTGTGTTTAAATCCAAACAAGGAGGACTTCAAGCCAACCAACAAAGCTATTCTGAAATTATGGTCCTTTAATACAAATATTGTTATAAACCCTAAATTTTAGATTTTTCTTCAAGTCTTTTTGATTAGCTTATTTAATATAGCTGCTGCTTCTATTTACATTTTTATGCAATATATCCACATCAATGATGTTATTATCATAATTGGTCAATTTTGTTGGTTAAATGCTCACGGTGACATCGATACTATAATTAAATTCATAATAAATTGGGTTTAATATCGTGTGGTTAAAAGAAATTCCGGCTCATAGCTCTCGAAAATTCAAAAAAAGTTTCGTTTGCAGTTTACGTCAACCCGACGTATTTTTCTCAACGTTTTTTAGCTAATCCCCGTTTAAAGGTTCCACAAAATTATATCACAATAATTTTGATCTCCTGTAAAATAAAAATTTTCTGCAGACTGACGATAAACTAATCTAAAAATTATTTTAGGAATACCTCCAGTCATTTACTTAACAATGAACAAAACAATTCAACGCGATTGTTTTAAATTATTAAAAATGTTTGTTGACGCTACTATAAAATTTTACAAAAATCTACACTCTAATGTTATTCAACCTTCAGATAATCGTTAAATAAGGTGTTAACCGAGGAATTTTGTGAAACAGAAACATCATTACTTACATCTCTATGTCCGAAATAAAAATTCTGAATGTATTCTACACCGTTACTTGCTTTTCCTTTAGCTATAAATTTTATTATAAAATTTTATTATTTTAAAAATTTTATTGTATTTTATGGAAAATTTTCATTTAATTATTTGGCAAATAACAATATTTTTGTTTTAACTTTCCCATATAGATAAGTTCCATTTACTTTCGTTTACCTTTGGAGACGGAGTCAAGGCCAGTGCTTCGAAATTTCAAATTTGCTCGTACTCGTACTCGTACCTCGTACCACCTCTATTTTTTTGCTCGTACTCGTACTCGTACCTCGTACCACCCCTATTTTTGGCCTCGTACCTCGTACTCGTACCTCGTACTTACTCGTACTTGAGAAAAAAGCAAAAAATCGAAAATTTTTATGATTTTTTGAGCCCAGGACATCTATTTTTAAATTTTAAGCGTTGTATGTGTTCATTTTCGAATCTTGGAAGGCTTTGAAGTTATAAATCCTACAATTTCATCAATTTGCTGCGCCGCAGGCGAAATTTTTGAGCATTTTGGAGTGTAAGGAGAAATATTTCCTCCAAGATGGGTCGGGCTACTCGAAATCCGACATTTTTTCATCCGATTTCCACTTCTTACATGGAACTTTTTATCTTTTCCACAGAACTTTTCACATTTTAATCTCCTTATATCCCTCTTAATCTCAAATCCTTTTTTTCAAAAATTTTGAGAATTTTGGATGTCCTTAAGTCAGATTTCTATTTTTGCGCCGCAGGCGAAAATTTTGAAAAATTTTGAAGGCCATGAAGCCAGATTTCTTTCATTTTTCACCGCCGAAGGCGAAAATTTTAGAATTTGGAAGCCAATAAGCCACCTTTCTTATTTTTTCAGCGCCGCAGGCAAAAATTTTGAAAATTTCCGAAGGCCGTAGGCGAAAAAAATTCACTTTTAGTGTGCAAAGAAAAAATATTAATAATTTTAGATGGTCAAAATCTCATAATTAATCCAAGTAAAAATACAATAATTTTAAAAAAAAAATTAAAAAAGTTATTTATGAAGAGAAAAATATTAAAATTCATTGTCCAGTGAATAGGAAACGAACCCAATATTAAATCATTATAGACTTTGGTGCAGCCAAGCACCTTCACCACTCGGCCACTCGCTCATATAATGGAGAAAGCCTTGACTCAAGGCTTTTCAATTTCGCCCATTCTGGTTATTTACACATAAAGACAGAAAAACAAAAGATGGTAGGCGTGAGATCATTAATGAAAAACGAATTTCTCCACGTATGTTATGGAATTGGCCCTAAAACCTGCAAAGATAAACTTGCTGAATTAGAAGAGTTTTATCTATGATTTATGATATGTAATATAAAGCCAAAAACCACAATAAACATTTTATTTGTACACTATAATAATAGGTTTTAAAATTTAAATTTTTAAATAAAGTTTTATAAATTTTTTATTCATTATTTTAAAATTTTTATTTTCAAAATACCAAGTTTTGATCATTTTAAAAATTAAAAATTTTTAAATTTTAATTTTAAATTATAATTTAAACTCGTAAATAGAAAAATACATATTTTTGATAATTATTTTACACCCCTAAATATTAGTTTTTATGAAAAAACTCTGCTAATAAAAGTCTCACGGCGCCGGTTATTTTTTTAACCAACATTTTTTATCTAAATTTTTTTAATTTTATTGTATTTTGTGGATAATTTTTATTTAATTATTTAATAAATAAAAATATTTTTTTATTTTTTTCCCATGAAAGTTTACATTTACTTTCGTAATTATAAACGTTAATTAATTCTCCTCTCAAAATTTTCAATTTTACATTAATTTTCTTTTTAATTCCTGTACAATTTTTTTACACATATGAGAAACATATTTCGAAGCAATTTTATGGGCTTTCTAATGAGCTCAACAGAAAATTTTTATATAAGCTCTAGAGGGTTAAAATATTTGTTTAAGAACATTACCCCCATTTCTCGATGATTTCAGGGTTTCAGAGTTCAATGAGTAAATTGCCTCTCATTATCAATGGAAATGAACACAAAAATTCCTTTGTTGTTGACCTCAAAAATTTTCAAAATTCTCGCCTGCGGCGATTAACAAAGAAATAAAAATCTCACACCTAAATAAAAATATTATTAATAAGATTTTAATAAATTAAAGAAGATTTGGATATAAAACCAGAAAATTTAAACAAATTTCAATGGATATTTCTTGTATTATAGACCCCTCCGAATTGGTTACCCGACACTTGCGGAACGACATTTGCGGATCGACAATTGCGGATTGAATTTTGCGGAACGACATAAGCGGACCAGACAATTGCAGACCGACAGAAGCGGATCGACTTTTGCGGACCGACAGATGCGGATTAACATTAGCGGATCCGACATTTGCGGACCTGGTAATTTTTCAAGAAAATAAAAATCCTTTACTCTTGAAAAGTTTCGTCCTGAATATTGAGATCGCCTTGGGCTTGTGTCTTCGAAAATTTTCGAATTTGAACAAGAAAAAGGTTCTATTCCAAAAATTGTAGGCTGATTCAACATTTTCACCGGCCAGACCCGGTACCCTGACATTTTCGACACGCAACCCGATCCAAAGAAATATTTGTAAGGCGAAAAAATTTGAAAATCCTTTATTTTTTAAAATCATTAACTGATCCGCAAATGTCGAGTCCGCAAATGTTAATCCGCATCTGTCGGTCCGCAAATGTCGGTCCGCATATGTTAATCCGCAAATGTCGGGTCCGCATATGTCGTTCCGCAAAATTCAATCCGCAATTGTCGATCCGCAAATGTCGTTCCGCAAGTGTCGGTACACCTCCGAATTAGAGCCCTTCTCCTTAATAGAGCCCCCTTTTTGAGGGTGGTTGAAAAATACCCCCCCCCCCCCCATCTGAATTAGAGCCTCTCTCTTTAACAGAGTCTCCAATTTTCGTTAGAATCAATTTTCGTTAATTTATTAAAATCTTATTAATTTATCCCAATCCTCAGATATCCCTCTTATGTTCTCGCAGAAAATTTCTCTGTATTCTATTTATTTTCAAAATCCGTTCTTAATTATACCCATTTCCTCTATACTCCGAAACAACTTAAGTTTTGACTAAAAATCAGAAAATTTAAACAAATTTCAAAGGACTTGTATTTCTTTCATCATGATGAATACGAGCGCCTTTACAATTGTAGTTTATACAGTGTTGACCAAATCCCTCTAGAAAAACGTCAACATAAAATACTTGGAATTTTCTTCATTATTTTGTCAACAATATATGAGGTAATTTTATTTAAATGGGAAGATTTTTTTAGCTCATGGTCTACTGAAATCATGATTAACTAAAAATCCTAAAATATTTGATTTGGGATTTAAAAATATAAGAAATATGGTGGCTTCATGGGGTCTGAAATTTTTAGAATTTTTACCTGATGTTCATGGAACATACTTAATTTATAGTTACTAGGATGTTTTGAATCAAAAAATCTTCGAAAATAGTAAATTGAGGCCCTCGACCTACTCTACCTATAAATCAAAAAATTTGCACCTTTTGTGCTGAAATTCTAATTTTAGAGCTTTAGAAAACTCCCGAACCCCGACATACCCTCCCGGCAAAACCTATCCACGACATATCCGACCATAAAGTGTCGGGTTGCTATCTTAGTTTTGATTACTAGTTGTTGACCATATTAATTCCGATTTTAAATTATTAATATGTAGATACTCTATATTCCTTGCATGTTTTCAATATGGAAACTAATGACAAAAAGTACTTGTTATAAAATTATGTTTGTTATGGGAGTTCTTGATATGGGAGGAATTTTATTTACTGGATTTTCAACTGGATATTTGGGATATTTTGGATATGTTTTTTGTTCTTCACCAAAATTTATTTATTTTGCTGGGGTCTATGGAGCTTGTTTGTGCATTTCAATAATTTAATAATATTTAAATAATAGTTTGCTGGAGTGCTGAATCTATCATGGACGGAATATTAGCTTTGAATCGTTGCATTGAAATGTGGGACTCTGACTTGGCTAAAAAACTTTTTAGTGGTAGTAGTACATTAATATTTTGTAGGATAACATTACAATTACAAAAGATTATTTCAAATTACCGTTTTTTCTTTTCGCTACAGTAAGACCTCATAAACTATATGGGATAATTATGGGGACACTAAATCAAATAAATACAATAATTTCTTAAAATACGATTACTTGTGGTAATTAACATAGTAAACGTTGCTTTGATGAAGACTGTAATTATGTACATATGTATGTACGTGTTAACATCAACAATGTTTTCTTTTGAATTAAGTCAATTCCATTAATTTTTATTAAACTTCTAAGGTAAAAAATTGTATCTTTGGCTTGCCATTCCAATAATATACGGTTTATCGTTAATAATATGGATGAAGCAAGTTATACTGTTTAGCGGCATCTACTTTAGCTGGTTTTTCAATCCGCACATTGGGTACATTGACGATGTTAATCAAGTATTTTTTTTTATTATTTAAAACGTAGCAGGTTCTCGGTTCTAATTTTAAAATCAACGGCTTATTTGTTTAAAGCAAAATTTATACAATTAAACTGACAACAATTGAAAGGGGATAGGAAGAATCAGGAACTGAGGCTATTTCTACGGATTTTTCCTTATTTTGTGGTTTTATGATAGGCCGATTATGATTATTTATAAAAACGCGGATTTGCGGACTTTTGTGGCCTTTTCAAGATTTTGGGATTTTTTTATATTTTATTGTAGTTTTTTGACAAAAATTCATTATTTTTCTCATCTTCAATTGTTAGGGTCAAAAAATATAACACATAAAATCTTCCTATCCACAATTTATCTGTCATATCATAATTCAATTTTTATTTTTGATGATCATCACCTGCGGCGCAGAAATGTTTTTTGTGGATTTTTGATATAAAATACGAAAACGATTAATACTAAAACAATTAATACATATTTAGTAGTATTTGATGGAAATAAACGTTTTAAACATAAAGTAATGTAAATAAAATATAAAGTATTTTAAACTGAGTTTTCATTCATTATTAAAATATTTAATTTAATAAAGAATTATGTAAACACCATTCTTCCTATCCACAATTTATCTGTCATATTATTTATGATAATCACTTACTCAACGTTTTGCATAATTCTTAAATCCAAACAAGGTGGACTTCCATCCAATCAACAAAGCTATTCTGAAAAAATGGTTTTATAATCTAAATTATTGTTTTAACCCTAAATTTTAGATTTTTCTCCAAGTATTTTTGATTAGCCTGATTAATATTCTTACTGCTTCTATTTATCTTTTTATGCAATATATCCACGTCAATGACGTTATTATTATAATTGGTCAATTTAGTTCACTAAATGTACACGGTGACGTTATTAATTTTGTAATAAATTAGGCTTAAAATTATCCATATGTAGTATTTGTACTACTTTCTTTTACCCTATCTATTAATTCATAAACACCCTTGGTCAATCTAATCCCCTGTAAAATAAAAATTTTCTGCAGACTGACGATAAACTAATCTAAAATTTATTTTAGGAATACCTCCAGTCATTTACTTAACAATGAACAAAACAATTCAACGCGATTGTTTCAAATTATTAAAAATGTGTGTTGACGCTGCTATAAAATTTTACAAAAATCTACACTCTAATGTTATTCAACCTTCAGATAATCGTTAAATAAGGTGTTAACCGAGGAATTTTGTGAAACTGACATCATTACTTCCGAAAAAAAAGTATGCCCTGAATATGAATTCTGAATGTATTCTACACCGTTACCTGATTTTCTTTTAGTTTCTTTTGTCTAAACTTGATATAAAATATTAAATATTATTATCTCAGAGTTAAATAATTAAAACATTTCACAATTAAAAAGTAAAAATATGTAATACCGCTGGGAATTTCTTTTATAAAGTGCATTTTATAAAAAAATTTTGCTTTACCAGTGGTAAGTTTAGTTAGCTGAGTCTCGACGAATCACTGTATTGAGAAATGATTCTGGAATGAGTTATATTTACCTAAAAATTGAAAACCTTAGGGACAATCAGGCTTACTTTTGGGGTCAAAAATTCTATTATACAAATGATATTTAGTTTATTCTAGTAGAGTACATCGAGTACCGAGTAATTGAGAAAAAACTTATTCGGGTAATGCCGGGTTTGAAAACCCCGAGTTCGAGTTTAACTTTTTAGATTGAGCTCGAGTACGAGTAAATCGAGTACTTTTTATAAAACAGTATTTTAAAATTGTTTTATTACAAACAATACTTTTACTAAAAAGTATTCATCATCAGTGCTGAGTATTGTGCATTTGTTAGCAGTGATGAGGGAGATCATCATCTCAGTCAATCCCTAAAACATTTACATAGTCACCCTCAATTTAATAAACCTAACACTTTTTCCCATATTGTGGATTCAACTGTATATTAGAGTTTCACCGGAAGTTCTGTTTCGGTTACCCGAAGAATTTGGTGAAACCGGCAACCCTATTATTGAAAAATTTTAGAAAATTCTTTTCAATATTTGGTAATAAATTTTTAGTTTTCGAAAATTTATGCATCGAAAATTGGTCCCCTCCAAAATAAGCCCCCTCTAGAAAAAAAAAACCCGGGGCTTATTTTAGAGAGAATAAGGTACCCATTTAGTATAAACACAATCAGTAATTATATTCTTACATTTTTGTCACACAATTAATTCTCAGAATTATTTTTATTTTTTCAAACAAAACATTTGGCTTTAGAAAATTTAAATAATTTATTTTATTTAATAAAGTATATTTATGTTGAAAAAGTAATGAAAATGACGTTTTTTTTATTAATTTTAGAACCAGGTGAATTATTTGGAATTATGTACTTTTAGCTGTTTATTTATTAGCAAATCATACGAATTTTAAATACTGCAAAAACAAGAAAAAAATAAAATGGAAGTAAAGAAATAAATCAAATTTATTCTTCATTATCTAGTTCATTATATAGCCATGTCTAATTAAATATTATTAGTGCTGGATTAGAATTTTCGTTTAAATAATTTAAGTCAGTATTTTATTAGTTAAGGATCTTGAATTAAATAACAAACACATAAATAAATGAAAAACTTAAACTTGCTCGATTAATTTTTGATTAGTAACAATTGTACATATTAATTGAAATTATATTTATCTCATACAAATGGATTTGTATTTCTTTCATCATGATGAATACGAGCGTCTTTACAATTGTAGTATTTATAGTATCGACGAAATTCATGTGGAAAACCGCCAACATAAACTACTTGCAATTTTCCTTGTTATTTTGTCAACAATATATGAGGTAAATAGCAGAAGTCGGTCGAAATGACGAAGGTGCCGGAAATCGGAACTGCCGGAAGTCGGAACTCGGGAATCAGTTTAAATTTTCGGAAATTAGAAGTCAGAAATCGGAATTGCCAAATGACAAAATGATATAAAATAAAATATCAACAAATAACTTTTATTCCAAATTTATTCCAATTGTTGTATGAAGTAAATTTGAAGCAATTAAAAGAGATAATGAGAAATCGGGTGATTAAAAGAAAATATGTTTGTAGGTATCTGGGGATTAAGAGGGGTGATATATAGGTGGATTAAGATTTAATACCACCGGATTTGCTGGAATAAAGAAGGTGCACTAATACCCCTGATATGTACTAATATTATTATTGTTAAATATACCATTTATTTTCTTTGTATGGTATCAATTTGGAAGCAAAAGGCAAAAAGTCCTTGTTATAAAATTATGTTCGTTATGGGAGTTCTTGATATGGCGGCAATTTTGTGTGCTGGCTTTTTAACAGGATATTTGGGATATTTTGAATATGTTTTTTGTTCTTCACCTAAATTTATTTATTTTGCTGGGGCCTACGGATTTTGTTTGTATTTTAAAAAACTCTAATATATATTTCGATAATTATTAGTCTGTTGGTCTAGTGAATCTACAATTGAAGGAATTTTTGCTTTGAATCGTTGCATTGAAATATTATCCTCTGAATTAGCTACAAAAATTTTTGGTGGTGGGTAAATTGACAAGAAAACAAATTATTAAATTTTAAGGCAAAAAATTATTTTTGTGGCTTGGAATCCCAATACTTTACGGATTATCTGTAATTATATGGACAAGCCTGTTACATTTAGTGGCATCTACTTTAACTGGTTTTTTAATCCGCACATTGGATGAAATGTTGATAAAGTATTTGTTTATTATTCTATTAAAATTTTAAATTTCTTAAAAGAAATTTGAGAACACTCTTCTTGCTTTCCACAATCCATTGTTAATATTATTTCTGGTATCCACTTACTTAACGTTTTGTATAATTTTTGTGATTAAATCCAAACAACTAGGAGTTCAATCAAATCAACAAGGCTATTCTGAAAAAATGGTTTTTTAATACAAATATTGTTTTGAATAAGAATTTTAGATTTTTCTTCAAGTATTCTTGATTAGCTTGATTAATAGCATCGGTGCATCTATTTATGTTTTTATGCAATATATCAACATCAATGACGAGATTATTATATTTGGTCAATTTTGTTGGTTAAATGAACATAGTGGAAAATATAAATTATAAAGATTAAATTAGTGAACCTCTCAATAGTTTTACTATTTCCCATTAAAACTTTCCCAAAACACAATCCTTTACTTGACTGTACATAATAGTTAAATTTTGAGAAATAATGACATCAAGTTTTGGGGAATAAAAACATCAAGACTGGGAAATAAGGACATATTAAAAAAACATCTGAATATTATACTCATGAAATTTAGTATAATTGTAAAGAATAAGTTATCCGAAACATTATAAGATTCATATGTAATTTTAATGGTACTTGCTTATTATAATTCTTCCTTTTTAATTAATATCATAAATAGGGACAGCCAAAATATGCACGGAAAATTGCCAAAT